TTGAATTTATGTCAGCCAGCAACAGCAGGTACACATGTAGGTCTCTCATAAAGGAAAAGAGCTGTAATTTGAACTCTCAAAAGGAAGGAAGTACATGCTTTCAAGACAAATCTATGAAATCTAAGTATATTCAAAGTAGTTTCCAGCTTCTACCCTGTCCCCCGCCTTATTCCTCCCATCCCTCTGTCAGTAACTTCTTTGGTGGCAGTTCAGATGATCTGCCATTGCTTCTTCATGTGCATGAAATATATGTTGTATTTTGTACCTACAGTTCATGTTCCTCCCCATTAGAGAAATGACAGTAAACTAAATATTATTTTCTTCACTTTGCCTTTTTTTTGCTTAATGAAATATCCTGGAGATCTCTCCATCCCGGCATAGAGAGGTATTTCTTATTCCTTTCTACAGTTGGATAGTACATCGCTGTGTGTATGTACCTTGGTTTATTCAATAAGACCCCTACTAGTGGGCATTTGGTAGATTTTTGGTCTTTAATTATTACAAATAGTGACGCAGAGAATAAAATATGCCTAATCTTTTCCTGTGTTTTTGTCAGTATAGCTCTGGGATATAAGGAAGGGGAACTTCTTCCTCTGTCCTTCAAGGTCTTGCAGCTGCACTAAGAATTGCATTCACTTCAGGCAGATAAATAAGAGAAAAAAAAAAGCAGTGTGCACAGATGCTCAGTAATGAAACTAAGACCAAGAGAGATGACCAAGGCAGGCAGTTTTTGTACTTTTTAGGCAAAGAGACGATGGATCTGTGAGGGCTTGACAAAACAAGGAAAACTTAACTTTGGGAGCATCTGTTAGGGAGGAATTCTAAACAGACTTTGGGCTGGGGTAGTAAATTAGTAGAAAGTAGTAGGCTGTTTATACAGTCTTCTTGGCTCTAAATCCCCGTCCCTTGTCATGAGAGTGTCTCTTTACCTCCTGGACAGCAAGGGGACCTTTTACATGGGAGATTTGTTTCCTGCTTGCATGGGGACAGAAGAGGGTCTTAGTAATCTTCCCAAACAGGCTGTGTCTTAAGGTACTTTTATATGAAATAGTATGCCAAAGTTGCAAGTTTAGGGGTGACCTGCCCTTAACCACTACAGGCATAAATCCTAAAATTGGGACTCACAATCCAAGAATAAATGTATATGTGATTTGTGTGATATTGCTAATTTCTCCCCTGTAGGTTTTAGACTGTTTTTCTATTCTCATTAGCCATGGAGAAGAGAACCTGTTTCCTCTAAACCTTTACCGAATGATTATAGCAGCAAATTTTTGCACTTTTGCCAAATCTGTTAGTGGAAAAATAGTATCTCAGTGTAATTTTAATTTGTTATATTTAGTTTTTTCTTTTCCTTTGTTGGGTTCATATTTCTCTAAGTGAATGTTCATATATTTTTACATAGTTGAGGAGCATTGACATTCCTTTTTTTTTCTTTGAACTGTTTATTCATATGTCTTGCTCCATTTTCTGTTGAGCTATTGGACATTTGTCTCTGTACCTTTATGTATTCTTTGTATAAGAGGAGAATTAACCCTCTTTGATATAGTCTGACATTCGTATTTTAATTGTCTATGGTGTTCGTTGTCTCCCATTGTCTTTTAGATTTATGTAGTGAGATGTATGAATCCTTTTCCTTACAATCTTTCAAATCTTAGAGACTTGGCCCGCGCCTAGATTACAAAGGTTTTGTCTGAGTTTCTTCTAGTATTTATGTGGATTGATTTTTAGTGTGTATTTTCTAACGTATTTAGCATGTGAATGGCATGAAGATGTGGGTGCAGTTTTGTCTTTTTCTGTGTGGTTTTGTAGTTATCCCAATGCTGGTTATTAGTCCATCTGTCTCCCCATTGCTGTGAGATGCTGCCTTATGGAAGATAAATGTAACACGATACAATTGAACTGGATACTCATGAATATAGTCGACCAATTTGGTCTATTTCTGAATTGTCCGTTTTTGTTTTCGGTTTGTCTCGGTTCACACACACTTCATACTGCCTTAATTATAGGGGCTATAATATTGTACTATCTAGTAGAGCTGACCCTCCTTCATCGTTCTTCTCTTTTTTGACTGTACAGGCTAATTTCGTTTCTTCATTCATCCAAATGAAGTTTACAGTCAACTATTTTAGCTGTAGAGAAAAAAATGGTGACAAATTTTTTAAAATTTATATTTCTATAAAATCACGTTAAAGAAGTATCTATTAAAACAGTGTTGAATTTGGGGTAATGTCTGTCCTGTATGAAGGTATTTTTCTTCTTAAATCTACTAAAGGGGATGTGTTGTAACAATCCATTTTCTCATATTCAACCACCCTACTATTTCTGAAATAAATCACATTTAATTGTGGGGTTTTACTTTTTAGTGTCTGACAATTTATTTGGGATTTTTGCATTAGTATTCGCAAATGAGACATGTCTGTAGCTTTATTTATTGGTGAAATCTTTGTTAACCTTTGGGATCAATATCA